GATGTTGAACATTTCTTTAAGTGTTTCTCAGCCATCTGTGTTTCATCTTTTGAGAATTCTCTATTTATATCTATACCCCACTTTTAAAATGGGTTATTTGTTGTCTTGATGTCAGGTTTTTTGAGTTATTACATATTTTGAATATTGGCCTTCTATCAGAAGTGTGGTTGGTAAAAATCTTTTCCCATTCTCTGGCCTGCCACTTTGTCCAGATGATGGTGTCTTTTGCCATACAGAAGCTTTTCAGTTTCATGAGGTCCCATTCATTAATTGCTGATCTTAGTGCCTGCATTAACCGTATTCTGTTCAGAAAGTCTTTTCCTGTGCCGAGCAGTTCAAGGCTGTTCTCCACTTTCTCTTCTCTTAGGTTCTATGTATCTGGTTCTATGTTGAGGTCTTTGATCCATTTGGAGTTGAGTTTTGTGGAGGGTGATAAGTATGGATCTATGTGCATTCTTCTGTGTGGCAGCTATCCAATATGACCAGCACCATTTGCTGAAGATGCTATCTTTTTACAATGTGTATTTTTGGCTTCCTTATCGAAAATCAGGTGTCCATAAGTCTGTGGACTTAAGTCTGAGTCTTTAATTTGACCCCATTGATCAACATGTTTGTTTTTAAGCCAATACCACGCTCTTTTTTTTTTTTTATTACAGCTCTGTAGTACAATTTGAGATCAACCATGGTGATAACTCCAGCAGTTCTTTTATTATTCAGTATTGTTTTAGATATCCTGGGATTTTTTTGTGCTTCCATATGAAACTGAAAATTGTCCTTTCAAGTCCTGTGAAGAATTGTCCTGGGATTTTGATAGGGGGTTGCATTGAATCTGTAAATTGCTTTTGGTAGGACCGCCATTTTTACTTTATCAGTCTTTCCAATCTATGAGCATGGGAGATCTTTCCATCTTCTGATGTCTTCTTCAATGTCTTAAAGTTTTTTTTTTATTATAGGATTCTTTCATTTGCTTGGTTAGAGTTACCCCAAGATAGATATATTGAGACCCATGCATTTTGTACTCTCTCTTGGGGAGATGGCAGCAGTATGGTGTGGAGGTCTGACTTAGAGAACTCTGCCTTGGCCTTTGGCTGCCTGCATGTGCCCAGACACCACCCACTCCCACCTGTGTCTGACCAGTGAGTGCACACTTGCCTGGGACTTTGGGATGCGTCTTGTCAGCTATGACCTGGTGAGGTAGAGCCTGCAGACCTGCCGTGCAGGCAGTGTATGATGGCGCCCAAAGTCACCTTTCCCTCTATGGATGGCAGGACTGTGAGTGGATTATCACACACTGAAAGTGACCCCATCCAGGACTTATGGGCAGAGGATAGCTAGGGTGCCATATTTGAATGCCCTTGGATTCTGCCCTCTGCATCTGCTCTTTTGTCCAGTTGTGCTTTGGGTCCTTTCACTATAATAAAACCTTCACAGTTGAGAATAAGGCACCCCTGCTGGGTGTGGCAAAGTCAGGTGGATCTCTGTCAGTTTGAGACCAGCCTGATCTACATAATGAGTTGGAGCCAGCCAAGGCTTGTGTCGTAAGACCTTGTCTCAAAAACAAAGACTAGCTCTGTGAGTGCTGTGGTCATTCTAACATAGTCTCAGGCAGTGGTGTGAGCTGTCAACTCACGGCTGGTGTCTGAAGTTAGGGCCTTATGGTGGCGATTCTCTGGGCCATATGGCATGCCTGTATTGCTTTGCAGAAGATAAATCATACCAGGTACAGCAATCAACACAGAGTATTAAAGTGTCCTGGTGTATTTTGGTTTGGTTTCTCTTTGATTTCTTTGGGGACATTTTACTCATCCTGATAGTAAGATGAACAACCAATCAGAGACCAGAAGGATGTGCTCAGAATCACATCAAATGCTATTTCATTGTTATTTCATATATATGACAATGAAATTGAGCCACACTGAGAATTTTATATATCCCTCTGAAGTCATAGATCAGGGACCTGTTCAGCAATAGACCCAGTGGACCCATCCATTGCATTAGACATCACTGCCACTTGCCAGGAGGCCACATCTTAGAAGGTAAAGTGGCTGCTAAGGACTCTGGGAGGGTTGGTCCTTCTTGGTTCCACACCAGTGAGGTATCCCAACAGCCTGTCCTTGGGGACAGATGGATAGAGGAGATGGACAGTTTCTAAGAACTGTCTTGAGGAAGGAATTACGCAGGTGGGTGGAGAAGGAAGGTGGTATAGGTGACCAGGTCAGGGGCAAGCATGCAGCAGTGAGGCCTGTGTTGGAAGAAGTGGCTAATCCCTGATACACGTCTGGTCTGCCGGCTCCAGTATACATTTAGCTCTCTTTCCTGGTGCACTGCCCAGGGACACTGTCCTTCAAATACTCATTGACTTCCTGTTGGACACTGACTTCCTGTTGGACACTGTGGAGGTCAAAACATGATGTGGAAATGTCATCAAAGAAATGGCTGAGAAACCAAGACGAAACACTCACCTATAGTTGTCAAAAAACATCCTTTAGAAATGAAGATGGGATCGGCACATCCCCAGGCAAAGGAACCAAGACAATGTGCAGAGAGTGCACAGGGAGCTAAACCCAAGGAAACTTCTAGCAGAATGGAGGAGACTGCCAAACAGAGCATGCGGCTAGGACACACTTCCCCCAAGAATCTCTTTCTTCAAGGTGTGTTCTGGTTTCCTTTCTGTTGCTGTGATAACCACTGACCAAAAGCAACTTGGGAAGAAAAGGGCTTATTTGGCTTAAATGTCCAGGCCTTAGTCCTTCACTGAGGGAGTCAGGGCAGGGACTCAAGGAACCTGGAGGCAGGAACCGTGGAGGAATGCTGCTTACTGGTTTGCTCACTCTAAGGCTTATACTTTGTTAGCTTTCTTATACAGCCCAGGACGACCTGGGAATGGTTGGTAGGGAATGGTGCCACTCATGGTGAGCTGTGCCCTCCCATTTTGATTAACATGACATTCCCCCAACAGACAATCTTCTAGGTAACTGGAGTTCTTCTTCCCAGGTGACTCTAGGTTGTGTCGATTTGACAATAAAAGGTCAGTGGTGAAGAGCACTTCCTGATCTTGCAGAGGATCTGAGTTTAGTCACTCTGGCTGGATGACCCACTACTACCTATAATTCTATCTCCAAGGGTAGCCAATATCCCTGACCTCCATAAGACTGAAACACAAATGCACATACATACAGACAAACATACACATACACATAATTTTAAAAATTACATCTTAATAAGTCAATATTTTTTAGAGGAGAAAGTGAGCTGAGCTCCAGCATTCACCTCCCTCTGCTTTCTGACTGTGGACGCAGTGTGACCAGCTGCCACGAGCCCATGCCACCATACTCTGCCCCCAAGGACTGCACCCTTGAACAATAAGCCAAAAGAAACCCTTAGTGAAGTTACCTTTGTTAAGTATTTTGTTGTAGCAACAAGGAAAGTAACTAATATAGTAGGACAGTTCCTATCAGGCAGTGTGACATTGCTTTGAGAGGCTGCCTCTTGGGTGCAGTCTACAGGGCCCTCACTCAAGGGTACACCTGCCTGGCATGTGTAGCACGAATCCTAATTGGTCTTAATAAAAACCTGGAGCCAGATATTGGGATAAATGCTGAAATATCAGAGAGACAAAGGAACAAGCTATAGCCACCTCTCACCTCACCAGTTCCTCAGCAGAAAAGGACTGAGCTCCTGTCTCCTCCTGACTTATGTTCCTTTCTCCACCCAGCCATATCATCTCCTGTTTCCTCCTCCCTAGTGCTGGGATTAAAGGTGTGTGTGCCTCCCAAGTACTGGGAGCAAAAGCATGAGATCCCAAATGCTGGGATTAAAGGTGTGTGCCACCACTGCCTGGCCTCTATGGCTAACTAGTGGCTGGCTTTGCCCTCTGCTCTTTAGGCAAGCTTTATTTGTTAGAGCACACACAAAATATCACCACAGGCATGTTTTTAATTGTGTGGTTTCAGTTCCTAGCCTCCTGCGTGGCCCTGAATTTGGTCCTCTCCAGTCCCTTTTCCAGCCATCAGTTTGTTGACGTTCTTTCAAGCTACTGACTGTTCAGCCATTGTTGTTGCTGTTGTTGTGGTCTCCATCCTGTTCTCATTTGTTTTCAGGAGCCCTGGGCTGTGAGTTTGGAGCTGTTGATAATATCCTCTGCTCTGTTCCTGCTCACCTTGCCCATGACTTCCTTCAACCAACAGAATGCCTTGTTTTGACTTCTCAAGCACACTGTGTATGTCCATACGTGTGTGTGTGTGTGTGTGTGTGTGTGTGTGTGTGTGTGTGTGTGTGTGTGATGTCTCAGGGTTTTGTTGAAGTACCTCCTCACTTGCAAGGTCACAGAGATATTCTGAAATTTCTTCTATGATCTCTGTGGTGTTAACTTCACATTTCAACTTTTCCTGCATCGGAGGAATCCATCCAGCTTTATTGTTCTCTAGGAGGGAAATCATATTATCTGTACTTTAATTTCTCAATTTATTTCTAGTGAGGCTTTCTTTTCCTGATTGATGTGGTTGTTTTTCTCTGTAAAAGTCTGGTATAGTTTGTGCAGAAATGAGGCAGAGCAGGCCGAGCTGGCGGCTGCACTTTCAAGGAATATACTGAGTATTTGCTGGTGACCTGGCTGTGGCAAAATAAACGAGTTAAAAATTGATTTCTAGTTCAGTGCTGGGAGGGATCATTAAACTTGACATTTTATTCTGTTTGAGGTTGGAACCTTCATGAGAACTAAAAATGATTCCAATTTACTTCCCACCCTATTTCCTGGAAGGGAGATTTCATGGTCCAAATACGACACATAATGAGAAGGGGGCATTCCCAGCTCTAATTGCAGAGCCTTAATTGACAACTGGGGTGCAGACTCGCCCTTTCCTTTCGAGTCTTACGTGTCTCACTCCATCCATTCAACCTACAGACTTCTGTTTCTCCTGTCTCCCTCCCTCCCGAGCCTCAGCGCCAGCTCCCCATTCTTTGCCCTGCTAATTTGCTCTACTATAGAACAAGCAAGTATCTCAGCCAGTGGACCTTCTTCTTTTTATTTAGCTGAACTTAATTGAAGTCTAGCACAAACAGAAAAACATGCCAATCATAGGTTCACAGCTCAGGGGGCCTCCCAGGCCAAGCCAGCCCAGCCAGCCCAGGAGACAGCAGTCCTCTCAGAAGCCGTCTGTGTCCGCCCTGAGTGGCCACTGTCCCGTCTTTCTGAAGCTCAGATGAGTGTTGCCTCAATTTGACTTTCTCCACAAAGGTTAGAGGAGATGCCTCTTTTTGTATTTGGTTCCTTTTTCAAGCAGTTTTGTGGAATTCACCAATGTATGTATACATGTGCGAGTATGTGCTGGTAATGGTAGGTGCATGTGCACACGTGGGTGTGTGCATGTAGAAGCCGGAGGTCCACCTTGAGGTCATTCCTCAGGACAGCTGTCCACCTTGTTTTGTGAGACAGCATCTCTCACTGGCCTGGATCTCACTGATTCAGCTAGGCTGGCTGGCCAGTGAGCCCCGGAGATCGTCCCATCTCATCTCCCCAGTGCTGAGATTGCAGATGTGTGCCTCCACGCCAGGACAGCCGGGGCGGTTACACAGAAACCCTGCCTCAAAAAAAAATTTGAGAGATTTAGTGTATTTATAACACTGAGTCTTTCCATCTCTGAACATTGCAACAACTCTCGAACTTTTAGGCCTTATTTAATCTCAGTAATGTTTCACAGTTTTGGGGGAAAGTTTTTTTTTTTTTTCGTATTTTAGTTATATTTGTTTATAGGGGTTTGAAGTGTCTTATTCTTTCTTGTATATTTTCTTGCTACTACATAAAATGCAATTGATTTATATGTTGTTTGTGTTCTGTGACCTTAAATCTTAGTTCAGTCTATGTTACTGTAATAGAATACCCAGAAGCTGGATAACTTACATAGAAAACATATTTATTACTCACGGTTCTGGAGATTAGGAAGTCCAAGGTTGATGACCAGCATCTGACAAGGGACTTCGAGTCATGAGAGGAAGTTAGAGAGATGGCAAGAGAGAGACAAGAAGGGACCAGCTAAGTGTGGTGGGGCACACCTGTAGTCTCGGGTCTTAGACAGAGGGGGAGGGTTGATTTGTCAATAGTTAGGAACAAACAAGCAAACAAAGCCATAAAAGATGTGACTGGCAAAATGGTTCAGCAAGTAAAGGGGTGTGTGTGTGTGTGTGTTTTCAACAACACAAGCCTCAACTGCATTTTCCTCTCAACCATCTTATGGAAAGCTCTGTTATTATTGCTGGCATTATACAGATGAAGAGCTGAGTTTCAGAGAAAGAGGAAATATTTTGGTCAAGGTCACCTAGAGGGCAAGCAGCAGATACAGGACCATGGGATAGCTCTGTGCACAGCCACTGACTCAGTCCAGAGGCTCTGGCCCTCAAGGATCAGCTCTCCTAGACTCCTGGAGTTTCACACCTCCACCTGCTGACTCCAGTGGCTTTGGCCAGATGGTGACATCAACTTCTGTGCAGGCTCATTTTCTTCTTGAGAAGGGGCACAAAGATGCCCATTATTGAGAGCCAAAGAAGTGTGTGGTCTGGAGACACCAGAGCTACCAGCAAGGGCAGAAGTTCAGAGAGAGGGCAGATTCCATGAGATATGTGATGTGACTTGGTAATCACATGGCTTCAAGCAGGAAAATGAAGCCCATTCACTTTTGAGGTTCTGAGGAGCCTGTGGCTACCTAGAACTGTGATAGATAGAATTAGGACTTTGGAAAGCCAGGTAGGCCAGCTGTGAGCCCAGGACTCCTGTCACCATATACAATGCCACTAAGTCAGAGTGGTACACTGTGGGTCACTGGTGGCACAGAGAACCTGAGTCTGGTCTCAGCAGCCCTGGTGAGATAGTCTTCACCTGCAGGCAGCGGGGCAGCCAGCTAGCTCCCAACAGGGACAGCTAGCCAGATCTTTCTAGCAGCCCAGGGCTGGGAGCCACTAGGTGATCTAACGTTGTCCCTGTCCACTCTTCCCTCCAAAACTCCACTGTTGTGTGTAGCTATCTTTGGGACCTTTTTTTCTTTTCTTTTCTTTTCTTTCTTTCTTTTTTTTTTTTTTTCAGAATAAGCCCTTGGGTTGGGGAGGTGGCTCAGTCATTAAAATGTTTGCCATGCACGTGTGAGGACTGGAATTCAGATCCCCAGAAACCCATATAAATGCTGGATGGACATGGCAGCCTACCTGTATTTCCAGCCTCTGTAGGCAGAGCAAGATGGCTTACAAAACGAAACATTGGCAAGTTCTGGGTTCGATTGAGAGACTCTACCTCAGTGACTAAGGTGGATGAGCCACAGAGGATGATTCCTGACCTCATCCTTGGGCCTCCACATACATGAACACACACACACACACACACACACACACACACACACACACACACACACACACATCTGGGTGTGGAAAAGGAAATAAAACGAGACCTTAAACAGTGACTAGGTTGCAGAGGCTCTGCCTGAGGGGTGTGCAGAGGCTGCCATTCCAGGCCGAGGTCAGCTCCGGTCTCTCTGTCCTGTGTGCACACTCTCTCAGTATGTGATGGCTTCCACTGGGTTATGACACAGCATGCAGCTCCTTGCCAGATGCCAGTGCCAAACTCTTGGACTTTCCAGCCTACAGACCTATTAATAAACTTCTTATGACTATAAATTGCCCAGTCTCTGGTATTCTGTTACAGCAATGTAAAACAGACCAAGGCAAGCACCATTACCCTGTCTGCTTATTCCTTAACTACTAAAATTCACCTGCCTGGAGACTTCTGCTCAGGATCCAAGAGTCTGGGATTCACTTAACCTAGAAAATTACTGTATTTCTAATATTGGCTTAAGCCTTATGGCACTAGTTGGATAGTGAAAATAATTTGGTGCAAATTAGTAAGAAGATCCATTCTTCCTGTGGGATAGTCTGAAGACACAAGATGATTGACAGGAAGGTGAAAGGCAGTGGGGAGGGTCACCAAGCTGAAGGCATGTGGGATGTGTTCTGCAATGACTTTGGAAAATCAGCTTGGCCCTCCTTCCTGACCCTTTCCCCACATCTTTTAGGCTAGAGTATGCCCAGTCTGAGACCGCAGGCCCAATTCTGTTGACTCCTAGCTGTCTCTACACCTGGCCATGCTGAGGTCTTTCCCAGGATCCATGCCTCTTCTGTCCTGGCATGTGCCTTAGTCCTTGCCTATACTCTCTCCTTCAGGACATGATGTAGTGGGTACCTGTTCCACCTATGACCTTGACATACCAGTCGCTAGGGTGAGGGGCACATACGCCTCACTCTCTTCTCTCTCTCGTGGGCTTAGACAGTATGGACTGACTCAGGCGGCAGAAGCAGCGTGGGACTGACCATCAGCCTTCCAGAACTCTGCTACAATTTTGCCTTATCCTGTTTAGTGAGTTGTTCCCCCCCAACTTATAGTCTAATAAACTCCCTAATACTCATTAAGCAGACTCCCTTGGATATCTCGCTATAACATGCCTCTGGGTATGTTGGCTGGCAGCCTAGGTTATGCTCTTCTGCCTTCGTTACTGGGGGCCTGGACATAAGGCCAGCAGCCGGGGCCTGTATGTGGACTTCTGGGTAGGAAGACAAGTTTCAGCAAGGCTCAAAGTGTCCATCACCTACTTTGGGTTTGAGGCGGGTGGTGGTGGCACATGCCTTTAATCGCAGCACTCGGGAGGCAGAGCCAGGTGGATCTCTGTGAGTTCGAGGCCAGCCTGGTCTACAGAGCGAGTTCCAGGATAGGCTCCAAAACTACACAGAGAAACCCTGTCTCAAAAAACCAAAACCAAAACCAAAAACAAACAACAAAAAACCTACTCTGGGCTTGCCTTGCAGGGCTGCCTAGAAATTGGCGCAATTATTGTCCACTCAATTATAACCTGCAGGGGTTTAAGAGCAGCTCATGGAGATGCACCCCAGATAGCACCAGTCCAATCCAGGCTTTTAGCTTCTATTATTTCACATTGGGCTCTGGTTTGATATGACCCAAGGGCAGGACTCGCCCTTCTCTGCCCCTTCACCAAAGCATGGCCCAAACTCAGCAGATAATTACTTGCACTTTGCCCATTATTCCCAGTAATACGTTGAGGACCTGTGACTCTCCAGCCTAGACACAGTTGAGGATGTCAGGGGCACCTGAGAGCTGATGACTTCATTTTCTCAGAAACTGCAGCTTCATCGGTCAATGCTCAAAAAAAAAAATGAGAAGTGCAGCTCTCTGCCCACGAAGGAAGTCACTGCTAATTTGGGGGAGATGGACACACCATGAACATGGATATGGACGTGACTGGGTCAGTCCGGATCAGCGTGAGGGAAGGAGAGACAGACCAAACAATGAGTAAGACTAAGACTAATGTTGGCTGATTCACATCCTGGTTAAGATTCTCATCAGAGCGTGGTGGGACACCGGTGCTGGCCACCTCAGTGAGAAAGAGCCCTCCTGGACCACTTGATGCTTGAAAGAGAAAACATCCATTTGCTCGCTAGTACATGCACCTCTGTGGAGCAGGGGGTGTGGGATTTGTGGCAGCAGAGGAGCAAGGAAGGATCCTCAGAATGCCTGGTGAGAGGGGTCAGAAGGGAGTTCTCTTCAGCAAGTGAGCAGAATCCTCTTCAGAGTGGCTCCTGCCTCTGAATGAAAAAAGTGAGGGTGTGTCCATGGCTATAGTAGAGACTAGGGGAGCTTTCTGGTCTACCTCAAGGGGCTGTGAGGAGCCAGGAGAAAAGAATGCCCAGGACTCTGATACAGGGACTGATATCCTTCACTGAGGGAAGGATGCTGACGGAAGACATTCCGGTCTGAGACAAATGAGACAGAGAGCAGAATTGAGGGTGTTCCTGTGAACCTAAGAGGAAGCAGGGACAGTTGGCTATTGGGGGGTGGGGGACATCTTGTCTGTGCAAAGGATGTGTAGATGCAGCCATCTCTCACAAGACAGTGTTTCCTGTTGAAGTGCCAGCCCTCCCCCAACATCAGACATCTAGGTTGCAAATGGCAGAAAACGAACTAAAAATGTGTGGGGACTGGAGAGACTGCTCAGTGGTTAAGAGCACTGGCTGCTCTTGCAGAAGACCTGGGTTCATTTCCCAGCACCTACATGACTTCTTACAACCATCCGTAACTCCAGTTCCAGAGGATCTGAACCCCTCTTTTGGCCTCTGTGGGCATTGCATGGATATGGTGCACAGACACATGCAGGCAAAATATCCATGCACATTAAAATGAATAGATTATTTTTGATAAAGCTAGAAATCATTTTAACCCTTTAAAAAAAATAATGTTTCTCCTTGGCCTGAGGGTCCAAGGATGGAGCTGTCTTCAGTGGCTCAGAGTCTTTGGCTTTAGTAAGGCCACAGACATCTCTCTTCCTGTAACTCTGGTGTCCTGTGTTAGCATCATCCCTGAGCAGACTGATCCCTTGGGGAAGTTGAACCCTATAATGTATCGGTAATGTAAGTAAATGTGTGGGGGTGGGGAGAGGGGTAAATAGTTTGTTTACAGCTACCAGGAACACATGTTGTAAACATAAATCACATTTAGTCTTATGCTTTATTAAGTAGCTTTATTTGAATTAATGACTATGAACTAGATTATGGAAATACCTACATCTCACCAAAAAAGGTGGGGGAGACAACCAGAGCTTAAAACTTTAGCACCAACCAAGTTCACTGTGCCACAGGAAGCCTGTCTATCAATGACTGGAGGTTGGGCCCTTGAGGGACGGGTCTCAGGGCAGCAAGAGTGGAGAAGACCTTTCCAACCCAAAGACCACAAAGCACTTTATTCTGTTTGAAAGCCAAGTGGTGCAGCTTTGATGGGGCTTACCTGTTGGTCTGTACTCACCCGAGACAGAGACATCCAGGTGTATCAGCTGGGATGTGAGGTCCCACCTCAAGCTTGTGCTGATGGATGACAGAGCAACAGCCGAGTCCACCCTGGGGTGTGCATGCAGCCTGCAGCCAGCCTGGGGGTTGCCAGAAGGAACAGGTGCTGGGCAGTGGCCTTGGCCCTGTAGGCAGCCTCTCATGGTGCTTTATTGGTTGCTCCCACACTGCTAAGCAACATGAGCCTGAGGGAGAGCCAGGACAAGCAAAGCTGTTTGTTCTTCACTCCACAAGAAGAATACACACTGTCTAGAAAGGTCAGGGCATTTGAAAAAGGTCAGGGTTCACAACTATGTACATGGAGGCAGGCAGCATTCTGCCCAGGATGGTTTCTGCACACACAGCAGGAGACAAGGGCTCTAAACACCCCATGCCAGGCTTTGTTCCCCTGCTTTCTCCTTGTGTCCCATTTTTCAGGTCTCCCCCTGACTAAAAAAAAAAAAAAAAAAAAAGAGGCCTGTCTAAGTAGCACCCCTAAGCAGTTTTATTACAGTGATGCTGAGAACATCAAGGCAAAGCTACATGGGATACTGATGATCTGTGCTCACCTGGGTCAAGGCATCCATGCGTGTCTGCTGGAATGTGAGATTTCCCAGGGCCTTGTGGAGGGACTTAGCTTTCACTGCTTGGTGGCTGGTTTTCACAGACTAACAAGAGAATATTTTGAGGTAGGTATGCAGAAATGTTAGATAACACTGTGGTTGCTAGAGTAAAAAGAACGGGCTAGAATCTGCACACAACCCCTGGAGCATGAACACATCACCAAAAGGGGCTCGGGGCAGCAGGCAGAACTTAGCGCTATCAGAACTCTGTCAATACATTTCTTTACAGGGGCTCCTGCACTCACTGTGGAACCACATCTCAATAAACCCACTGTAAACCTCAAACACTCGTGTTCAATGCCTGTGTCTGCTGAACATAGCAGCTTAGCACAGCCTACTTTCCAGGGCCCAGCCAGGCAGTGCCATTAAACACAAAGCATGTCTCGTGATAAAGTCCATTGTTTGTTAGGTGCTTTCCAAAGTCTGTGGCATTCTGGTTGTCTCCCTGGGGGAGAACGGAGCTCAAGACTTGAAGTACAGTTTCTACAGAATGCATAGCATTTTTACACCATTAGACAATTGGGGAAAAAATGGAAATGCAGCCATCATGAGTTGGGGACTGTTTGCAAGGTGAATGTGGTGTTTCCCATTTATAATCCCAGAGCTGGAGAGGCAGAAGCAGGCAGATCCCTGGGCCTTCCTGGCCATCCAGCTTCAACTACTAGTTAGTTCCAGGCCAAAAAAAAAAAAAAAAAAAAAAAAAGTGGATAGCATATACCTGACAATCATCTGATGTTGCTCACTGACCTCTGACCTCCTGATGAAGGCACACACATGTGGACACACGTACATACTTCATAAAAAGACTCAGAGGCTCATGCCCCACCATCCCTGCACAGAAAAACAGGCCAGCCCACTCCCTCCACACAAGCACTCGTTGGGCAGAATCTGTTTCCTCCCAGGGACACCAGCAGCAGTCTGAGCACCTAGTTACCACAGGCCTTCTCAGGTGGGTACAACTGATGCTTCAAAGCACTCACAGTTGTCCAGTCTTCAAGTCCAGGAGTTGAAAAGGTTTGACTCCAGCAATTTACACGTCACAGAATCAACGTGATGTTAGAATGGAGCCAAAGTTGGTCTATGTTCTCAGAGCTCATTTCTCTCTTTAAAACTCTAAAGGTAAAGTTCAACCCCAAAGGGCTATGTACTCAAAGCCCTGTTTATTTCAAATTCAGTTTCTTTTGAAAAAAAAAAAAAGCCAATATCTCAGAAGGAGAGGAAGTCAATAGCTTGGCATATGAGATATTTGGTCTGGGCTGCAGGGAGGATGCCTTCCAAGAACAACAGAAATGTCTTAATCAGGGGGTCACATGTTACAGGTGAAGGCTGCCCCAATGACACTGTACCTTGGAATTCACAGATTGAATCATTCTGTGTCCTTGAGGATGGCCAGGCATACAGACCTACTTGAGTCTAACAAAGAGAATAAGGCATAAGTGATAGGCTGTCCGTGGTAAGGATTCAGCTCAGTTGGTAGAGTGGCTTCTGTCCTGCTGTGGGACACGGTTACAGATGTGCTACAGTGCCTGCATTTTATGGGGATTCTGAGGACTCATACTCAGTTCCTCACACCTGCGAGGCAAGGTCTTTGCCCACTGAGCCATCTCCCAAGTCCCAAAGTATCTTTTATTTAATTATTTTTTCCTTCCCCAAATTAAAAAATAACTTTAAAAATGGCTATTCTTTTATCTAGTAATTTTCTCTTCTAATCACATATCCAAGGGAAATGAATATTGCTAGACCTTTGTGTCACGAAATCTTCATTTCGGGGTTGTTTGCAGAAGAAAGCATTTCAATGTCTCCAAACAAAAGGGCTGAGAGGCATGAGTCTATCTAAATGGTACCACAGTGTGCAAATACTTAAGACCTTATTTCTAAAGGACATTACGAGAAAACGCTCACACCATGTGATGTCAGCAGAGGAGGAGGACATGGAGTGGACCTCCCTGGGCGGGGTGGATTTTTCTAGAGAGAGAATTAACAGGTGACATCTACTGATCTTTCTGAAAAATCTTCCAAGTATCTGATGGTGAAATCTGTTGCTTTTATGTTCATGAGGGAACTAACAAATCAGAATGTAAAACACTCCCTCCCCTAGCTCAAGAATTTTTGGAAGGTCTTAGTGTCTCCACATGAAGTGCTTGGAGCCTATAGAAGCCCTTTGTGAAGGTGGGGGAGCCCTGGGATGCCACCAGACCCTGTCACTCCGTCCACATGTGTACTGAGGTAAGGGCAAAGTGTTCACAAATGGAAGGACAATCAGATAGAAGACCCAGGAGGTAAAAGCACTTCCCACTGATGACCCAAGTTCAATCCCTGAAACTCACAAGGGAGGAGAGAACTTACTCCTGCACACTCTTGGACTCCCACAAGTGTGCTGTGGTACACACATACACACAATATAAAAAATAAATTTCAAAATATGGACTAGAGCATGGTAGAAAATACCAGAATTCTTATAAGTTCCAGGAAAATTTGTTAATTGCCTGTTATTTTCCACCCCCACCCCCCAATGTAAAAGTTACATCTCATTGTGCATAACTTCAAAAGTATGTGAAAGCCACTAGTTCCCTTACCCAGAGTGTCACCCCACCATGGCATCTAAGCTGTCTAGCATGGTGACTGTCCCTTGCAAGAAAACAATGGTTTCCCTGGGCAAGCTGGATGCTGGGTCTTTTCCCTAACCTTGATTCTTCCTGAGTACCCTCAACTCCGGATGCTCAGAGGATACTACAGCCAGCATCTGCAGGGCGGGCAGAGGCTGGGAGGGGCTGTACAGCACTTGGTGCCTCTGTCACAGCTGTAAGCAAGGCGGTCCCTGCCCACTGCCCTGGGATATGCCTCTTTACTATTTAGTCAAAGACTGGGCTACTCTCCTTTGCATGTGGGGTGAACCCAGCTCTCTGCTTCTGATAGCTGGCTAAATGCTAATCTTGGGAGATTGCACCCCCACTCTGCTGTGGCTCCTAAGAGTAGGGTCACCCTAGCCAGACAGCCATTGATGGGAACAGCTGCCTGTGAGTGCTTTTCAGTCCTGGAATCACTTTTCTCGATGGCACCAAAGACAGTGAGACAAAGTCCATCCAGTATCTTTCAGCCTTTGCATTAGATTGCAGTTGGAGGGTGTTGCCAAGCTTCCAGGGAGCAGTTGGACAAGCAGTGGGCTCACAATAAACACTTGATCTCTGTGCATTGCACTTAGTTGGATGCTGTTAGGGGCCTGGGGTGATGCTTGCAGGCAAGTACAGGTCTGCAGGGCTATTTCCACTTGGCTGGTTCTGTACTCTGGGCATGAGGGGCGACTTGAGCTGCTTTCAAAGCTTTGTGGATAAACTTATGTTTTATCCATTGAAAGTGTCTCACAAAGAGAGAATACAGAAATTATCAATTCAGATTCCCAGCCTTGGTGAACCTTTCTCACACTTCAGGCTGCCTAGAATCCACACCCGTTCCACCCCAGGGATTGGTTTATCTCCTTACAGGGCCTGAGTTGCCTTCTACTACAGGTACCAAATAGCCCTTCAGTCCCTTTCTAGTCTTCTTGTAGTCAGTACAGACATGTGACTGACTCCCAATGGATACACAAGCCCCAAGCTTGAATCTGAATCCAGGAGGAAAAGCCACCAGGATGCTGGGGCTCAGGAATGCTGGGACTTGGGGATACTGGAGCTTGGGAAGACTGGGGTTCAGTGAGATTTATACAGAGGGTTACTGGGGCTTAGAGATGCTGGAGACTGACTGCCTCTCACAGTGTTTAAAATAATGGGAGCTAACCACTCTCCCATACCCCACTCCTCTGTGATGAGAGCGTCAAGACTCACACCTAATTCTTCCCTATCCAACAAACACTAGTTAAGTTAAATAGAATGGGGGTGAGAATCCAGCTCTGTCTTTTCCAAATCCCCCACCACTGAGATTACAGGGTACCTGGGTATCAGAAAGGATATAGGACATGATGGGGCCTACATCAAAATCCAAAGACCATCCCTGCTGGGTGGCCACAGTCCTCTCCTCCCTTTCTCCAACCCTGTCCTTTCATGTCCATGGACCAACTTGGTGACGTCATGGCCCCGTAATATTAAAACAAAACACAAATCACCCTTCAGGGCTCCCTCCCGTTAGTGCTCCTTTCTCTCATGTTCTTTCGCCCAAATTATAAGTATCTATCATTTTTATGTGCTTGCAGAAGTCATTAAATAAGCCGTCAGAGTGGCAGTGCCCACTGGGACAACTGGCATAAATAGTTTAGGAGTGTTTAAGGAGTAGTTATTACTTCTGTGTATCATATGAGCACCAGGCAGGCGTCTGGTGAGCCATACTTTCTCCTTCATAAGATAAAAACCTGTAAGCCACAGGAAGGTGAGGGACCCACCTGGGGTTAGGCCATCGGATGCAGTGCCTAGCAACCACTCAGACTCCCTGTCCCTGTGTGGGTTGTCTCAAGGTCATCACTGGTGATATTACTGCAGTCCATCACAAGTCCTGAGTTCTGTGTGCTTTAATATTTTATGGGTGTCTTTGAGATGCTGGCGCTAGGCTGAGGAAGCAACAAAACACAACTCAGTTTCATCTTGTTGCTTAGTCATCAAGGAT